CCAACAGCTGGCTACAGTCAAAGGAGCTCAGAAGTATCTGGAATTGAGCTCAAGCCAAAGAGACGTTCAAGTTATTTAGTTTTACAAAAGACACAAAAACATTAAAGCACCAAATTGAATGAGTATGTATTAAAAGTTTGAGATTATATATACACATACATACATACTTACATACAAATAAATATATGTCTTTAGATGAAGATGAACTTGTATTTATTCAAAGTTATAAATTGTTCTATATATAAATGGGTAAATTTTTATACGAAAGCAATATAAGTTTTGTTCTTTATAAAATAAAGTAAATCAGAAGAATTCAGTTCTTATTTTTTGAAAGTATGTTAGACAGATGGTTTCTAACCGTTCTGCATTAAAGTCCCAATTTCAAGGTTTGGCAGTTGTTTGTTTTTTGGACTAAATTCAGAGCACTGTCTGAATATCCATTTTAATTTCGTTCTCTTTAAATCCTGCTCAAAACACCAAATTCTAAAAATATTTTATAAATTAAACTAACTTTTTTTTTTGCTGCTCTTAACTAGCTGAAAATAATTTTTTTATTATTAAATTTAGTTTAGTGCGAGGAGTATATTAAATTTACTTCACACTTGGCTAAACACACACGCCCACACATGCTCACACATATTATATATGGTACACTTGACCACACACACACACACACACTCACACACACACAGAGTGCATCAAATGAAATTCGTATAATGAAATTAATTAACTTGCTTAATTAAATATATAATATGCAGCGTTGCAGAATCACACAAGCTTGTTTTGATTTTGTTTTCGTATTTGTTTTTTGTTTTTTATTTTATTTTTTTTTATTTTATTTTTGATTTTATTTAATTAAGCCAAAAAACGCATTGCCTTAGTGTTAACAGAGCAGCGCAGCGCAGCGCAGTGGCATGTCAACTTGTTGCAAGCTGGTTTGGGCTCGGGTGCTCGAAGCTAGCCGAGCTCAAACACAACTCAAACCTCTCGGCCTGTCGCTGGCGCTCAACATTGCGGAAGTCATTTACGTGCCATGTTAATGGCAAGGGCATGTTTTTTGGTCGGCGCCCTGTTGTTGGGCTGTTGGCGCCCATGTTACGGCTGGGAGCTCTGTTAACATTTTTGTCGCGTGTTTTGCGGTCTGTTGTTGCGGTTGTGGTTGCACGCAGACAGCGAGCCGACAGTCCGACTGGCCGACTGTAGACTGCCGACTGGCATGATGCCGGCTATCACAACAACAACAACAGCAACAACAATAACAAACAGCTTCCTTCACGACGATGGCTGTGTGCCAGCCGAAGCGACTTCGTGTTTGACGTTCGGCTTTTGGGCTGTTATCATTCGTTTGCCATGGCGGTGGGTTACTTTTTTTGCTTGCGTTCTTCTTTTTTTTCGTATTTTATTTATTTCATTCGTCGGCTATTCTTTTTGCCGTTGGCTTTGCTTATGCCTGTTTCTTCTAATAGCTGTTGTTGTTGTCGGTGCTGCTGCTGCTTCTGCTGGTAGCCAGCCGGCTCTATGTGCTGTGTGGTGTGTGTGCGTAGGGCGTACGGCGTACGGCGTCCATTGACGAATCAGTTTCGCTACGGATTCTGCACGAAGCGGACGCGTTGAGTAGTCAGTCGCATAGTTGCGAGTCGAAGGATCCTCTAACTAAATGTCGTCTTTCGAAAACAGACGGTGACTTTTTTGAGTGCATTTTCGAAATATGCGTGAAGATGTGTTGTGCAAGTGTTAAGTGTTCGATGGAAGTGAAGGAACTTTTGTGAACTGAAGTTGGTTAATCGAAAACTATTTAAGAAGGTTTAAAATTCTGGAATAAGAAATAATTTGATTTTATAGCACACAGAAATTAAATGAACAGAGCTAATTTAATTTAATTTTATCAGTTTAATTTATGTATTTATTTATTTTTGAAATGCTAAGTTAAAGTAGATTGAAAAATAATAAATTAATTCATGAATTAATATTGTCAATATATTTTTGAATATGTAGAGGTAGAATGGGATTTTTACTTGGGCAATTTATAAAAAAAAGTAACTGATTCGAGGCAGTGCTTTATACGTAGACAGAAAACCGATCGTTTCTCAGAATTCTCCAAGCAAAAAAAAAAAATTAATAAAGAAATAAAAAAAAATATTTTTGTATAGATATTTATAAGCACCAAATTATAATTTTTAATAGATTTTATTTTTATTTTTTTTAAATAATTTTCAATGAAAACATTTGAAAGTTATATATGAATATACATAAAATATAATTAAATAATTTTTTTTAATTATTTAGCAAGTTATTCATATCAAATTTATTAGCTTATTTAAATATATTTATTTATATTAATATTTCAAATAGAAGCTTAACGCTTTATTTAGCTCTCTGGATTTATTTCAATGCAATGGCCAACGTCTTCAGTTAATTTAAAGCTCGGCATTAAATTCACTTTCTTCAACACTTGAATGTAACTAGTTCTTTGCCTATGTTAAGCACTTAACATAAGCAAACAATTAACCTTTCTCTCTCAGCTAATGCACATTTCATGCAATAAAAGCAAACAAGAGCAATCACAACAGCAACAACAATAACAACAAGAGCAATAGGAACCACACTCATGTCATCAGAGAACTTCACAGCCTGAATGCCAAAAACTTGAGAGAAACTTATGAGCGTGTGTCTAAATGAATAAACCAAAGTTAAATGGGGGCTTGACTTGAAGCACAGAAGTAGAGACAGAGCGAGCGAGAAAGCAAGTGACAAAGACAGCCCAGAGAGAGGGACAGAAAGAGAGCGAGAGTGGCATAGAGTTTGAGATTGAATTCGTTGTTGGAGTTGTTGCAACGAGCAAAAACACTAACGAAAACAGCAAAGCAAATATAAACAAAGAATTTAGCTTAAAAATACATTAACCCAACGCAAGCACACACACACACACAGAGAGAGAGGCAGAGAGGGAGAGTATAGAATCACACACACAGACATAGAGAGTATCAGTCTGCAGGAAACAGTTTGAAAACTGCATACGTAATGTTTCTATCGCGCTCTTCCTCTCTTCGTTTCTCTTGAGCACCCACTGCAGGCGTGCGTATACTACTGTATTTGTGTGTGGGTGTGTGTGTGAGTGTCTGTGTGTGCGTGCGACTGCAGGCATCAATGCAGATCAATAGCAGCTGGCGTTGCTGAAAAAAAAAAGTTTTGCTTTTTTTTTTTGTATTCAGCCAGCGTCATTGCAGCTTATTGTTTTCTCTTTGGTGTTTGGACTTTTGTGTGCTGCTCTTTGGTTTTATTTTTTTTTTTGCGTCTCTTTTGTTTATCGTTTGGCGTAACAAATTTACAAATTGTACAGAGCAAAGCAAACAAATTGCAAAAATATGATGCCATTGGCTGACAATCCCATTCCCATTCCCAATGCGTGTGCCATTGCCATTGATGATGATGATGGGGCGACGCTGGATATTCAGCTGTGACAGTCGAATCAGAAGAGAGAGGGAGAGAGAGAGAGAGAGAGAGATTGGCCTTTTAAATTGCCACAACGCAAAGCGACAAATTGTGAGGCACAACTGAAAAGTTATTGAGCACAATAACTGTATTTGTATTTTGTATATCAGTCAATCTGTGTGTGCATATGTATCTGTGTTTATCTAGCTTTATCTTTGATTGAGCTCCTTGTTGAAACCAACAAGCAAATTGACTGCAATTTGTCTGACACGTTGTCTATGCTGGCTTTTTCTTGATCACTTTCAAATTGAGTTCAATAAATTTAAAGTGGGTCTAAAAATATAAACAGTTGGATTTAAGTGCGAGGAAGACTATGACACGCCTAATTAATTAATCAAATTCAGTTTATTTAAATAAGAAAATGTATATTATTTTAAAAATTTATGAAAATAAAAATTGAATGCTATATTTATTTGTTTTAAATAAAATTAAATACAATTTTCAAAGCACCTACTGATAGCAATATTTGAAGCATAGCTTACATATATTTTGTGATCCTCAATGTTTCTTCGTTTTAGTGTCTTTCTCGAGTCAGATATAGAAACATAAAGACAATGGAAATAATTTGTCATTATGTTTCGATATTTGACTCGTAAGTTTAGTGTTTTACTTAAACCTTAATTGTTATTGTTCATCTCTTTTTCATCTCTTATTTATTTTCAACTATTTTATTCTTCTACACATTTTCTTTAAATCTTCGAAATCGAAAGTTGGTTATTTTATTGTTTTATTTTTTTCTCTGTCATATAAAATTTTAAAAGTTGGTTTGAATTTTGCCACTTCTTAACTTTCATTTCTTTTTCTTTCTTTATATTTTGTCTATGTATCTTTATCAATTACTCCTTGCCTCTCATATGTCACTCTCTCTATTTCTCTTTGACATTCTTTTTCTGAATCTGTCTTTGGCTCTTTCACAGATCCTCTCTTCTCTATTTCTATTTCTGTCAATTTCTATTTATGTCTCTGTTGGTGTTTTACTCTCATTTATCTCAACTCAAAATATATTAAGAAGAGCTTATAATCTTTCTCAAATTATTTATTTTAATTTAATAATTATTAGCATTAGGTAAGCAGCTACTGTCCTAGGCTTATACCAAGCCTTCTTAATTCTCTCTTAGGCTTTCAACGTTTTCTCACCTCTAGGCACTTTTGTTATTATAAACACGCATAAAAATAGCAAGTTTGTTGCGATACCTACAAAAAGTTCAAGTTCCGCTTGCGTCATATTAAAGTGGAACCCACTTCAGAAAATGTTAATTTGTTTGGTTGGCGACTTTTCATTGTAAACATGGCAGGGCCACAATGGGGCCAGTTTGAAAACCCTCACTGCTAGTGCTGCCGCCAACGCCAGCTCTCCACTCTGCCCCTCCCCCGCTTTAACAATTGCCATTACCCGCAGCAAATGTCGCAGCGTCGAAAGCTGTCAGCATTTAGCGACTGTAGCTTAGGCCACAAAACAAAACTCACAAAAAAAAAAAAAAAACCAAGTAAAGAGAAAAGCAAATATATATAAAGGCCTGAGGGCGAATACACTTGGGCTGTTGATTTGCCACGCCCACAATGGCTAAGCGAGAGGACCAGAGCTGCCCCAGCTGCTGCAGCAGCTTATTTTTATTATTACTTTTATTATATTTTTATACTGTTTACAATTTAAACAATATTCTGTTTGTTTTCTGTGAAGCTCCACAAAAATATCCATGACAATCTGTGCGATGCCAATGCCATAAAAGTCATTCAACTTGGCTTGGGCGACTCTCCCTCCTCCGGTCGTATGTTGCCACTTTCTCATGTGCGTCACATATGTTTTTAATTAGGCTAAAGAAAGGAGAAAGAGATAGCAAAAGATGAAGCAGAGGACGAAGCAAAAGAAGGAATGCTAAAATTAAAACGTGTGCCTCGAATGCCTAACTAATAGCTAAAGGCTGCCAATGCGGCATTCGTTTCTTGCTGTTTGCACTCGGATCCGACTTTTTCGGGTAAACTGAATTTGCCAACTGGGCAAACGCTGAAACTGACCTGCCTCCCGTTTCATTTCTGACCCAGCACCTGCCTCAGCCACAAATTGTCCCTCAGCATTTTGGCGCTAATTGGTCACATGTCTGACTTTGTCCAGGCCACAGCACCGAATGGGAGTACGAGGAAGGAGTACGAGAGGCAGCAGCTCGTTTATTTTACTTCCATTTCCATTTCCATTTGAGTTTGGGTTCGGTTTAGGCATTGATTTGATTGTGCTTTGGATTTCTGATGAGTTTGTCTAAACTACATGGACTGAGTCCAGCTGAGTCCTAATGTGAGCTTGGATAGGAATCCATTACAATAGCATGATAATTGAATCAATTACTTGTATTGCTTATGTTTTCATCGACTGAAAGTGACAGTGAAACAAAGAAGAAACGTGAGAAGTAAGGAAATCAAATGAAAATTTACACATTTGTGGAAATTTAAATTGCTGTCAGGTAGAAAATACTCAACGATTTAATTGAATTGAATTGGTGTAGAAAATTTGATAAAAGAAATACTTAACAATTAAAAATAGAAAGGTCGATAAAATTTAATTGAGTGGACTTGTGTTGAAATAATCTTTAGGCAACACTTTAAGGCACTCAACTGTAACAACAAATCAATGCAAATATCAATTTTTATTTAATTTTTTAAGCTGAGCCTAACATTTCTACTGCATCATTTTTTTTTTTTTAAATATTTATTTTAAGCGCTGAATCTTTACAATGCAAGTGTAGTACCTTAACAGCACAGTTAGATATTGCATAATATTTATTGGTCAGGAATTTTACTCCCTGAATGCGAATTCATTTTATGTAGCATACTTTGCAGAGCATTTCGATTTTGAGCCATTTGGTAATTTTCTTTAAAATGTTTCGCACCTTTAATTTGTAATTTAAAAAAATTATTAGCAAATCTTTAGTAAAAAACATTAAACTATTTTTATATTTTAGAATTTTGTATACATTTTAAAAATTAATGTAAAATTTTAAAGTTTTTCATTTAAAAAAATATAAATGTATATTGTAGAATCATTTTATTTTATTATTGGACATATTTATTTAAAGTAAAATTATAAATGTGCTTTTATTTTTAGAAAAATTTTTTTTATGATAGGATATATTTATTTAAAGTAAAATGTGACATTCTTTAGGACTGTATACATTTGAAGGATTACTTTGACAAAAATGGCAAATAAAAAACGGGTATAATTTACAAAACTATTATTATTTTTACCAATAACGTGTTCAATGACTTTAGTAAAATTTTTTAATTTTTTTTTTTATCGTATATATATTTATTTAGTCTGTTATTCAGTTTAGTAAGTTTATTGCCTTGTCTAGTCTTCAAAGAAACTGTAAATTCCAGTGTGATTGTAAATAAAATTTTGCTGAACATTCCTAAAAGTCAAGTCAATTTATTAGACTTTAATGTATTACAATAAAAAGAGAAATATTGCATATTCAACTAAGATTCACCATCTTATGAGAATCCCTGGAGTCGATCTATTGTTTATCATAAGGATTCACGCTCAACCAAGCTTCTCCAAAAAATAAATAAATAAACAAAAAAATAAATAAAAAAATGCAAAGGAGTTCAAAACAAATTAAATTTATGCTAACAGAAAAACTTTCTTAGATACACATTACCTATTCCATATTTGAAAATTTTATAGATCAATGGAAATTCTGAAAATGCTGTTATGGGCTCAAATGTTTTCCAATCAGCTGCAGGAGCTGATGTTTGCTCTTGCTGCTGCAACAACAACTAAGCCACTTTTCAGATGCTGTTTTTCTAGTGTTTTTCATGACTTGCTTCCTCTTTGCCTGTGACGTTACATACCAGCAAATCCTAATAACAAGTTTCCCATTTGTTTAGCCTAGAAAAAAAAAAAAAAACAACAAAAAAAGAGTAGAAATTGCTTAATTCTCGAGTTTTCCATATGACTTTGGCGCCCATAAATTTGCTTTCAATGCACTGCTCTGGCTTACACCGCACCACATTCGCTCTGCCACCGCACCCCGCCCCCATCTCTCGCTCTCTGTACACTGTCAATTGTTTGCTGTCTCGGAACTTGTGCGTTCTGAGTTTCCCTTCCGGGGCTAACCTCACAGATGCCACGCAGATTTGACTGGGAATTCAATAAAGTTTGGCAAAATATTATGCCCGACTAAGCCGCCATATTCTGGTTGCCACGCCCCCTTTTTGCAATCGCTGTTTCTACGTGCCGCACAAAAGTTTTTAGCCATTTGGCAAACGGGGAAGGGTGAGTGTGTGTGTGAGGGAGAGAGAGCGAGAGAGTGGGGAAACCCTTTCGCCGGAATAAAACTCAAAAAGTCATAAAGATTTGCCTTCGCGTTTGTTAGCAACGGCTGCAGCGCCCTCTGGCGGCCAATTGATATATGGTCTGGTTTATCTGAGCGCAAGGTGTGCGACTTTCTCTTATAAACTTACAGATAAAAATGCTGCCGTTCAAGTTTGTGGATAAGCGTTAAAGCAGTCGCAACTAGTTTTCGCCACGAAAATTGGAGCAGCAGCAGATTTTGTAGGAATATGGGAAGTTGTTTATATGCTGAAATGGAAATTGGAATGTGGGAATATTTGAGGATATTTATTTGTATACTTGTATAACATAATAAGCATGGATCTGAGTATGAAAATATAGCTAGGCATACATATATATAACTTAATTGGAGTGTAGAACTTAGACATGAATTTTGCTATTTGATTTTAAAATGAAATATTAGAATATTTGCCTTATCATCGATGGCTGAAAATGTTTAGAAATATATAACATTTTATTTTGTTTATTTTATAAAAATAATTTTGAGATATAAAACAATAAAATAGTTTTGTTTATTTTTAAAAAATTTTTTAATTAAAAAAGACGATTTTTAACATTTTTTATATGGGATTTTTAAAGCTACCTATCTTATTCGCGTTATTCACTTTCATTTTATTCACTTATCGCTTTATTCACTTATTATTCGCATATTTTAGGTACATAATATTCACAAAATATATATTTTTATATAATATAATAATATATAATATTAATTATATATTATAATATTACCTTTAAATTTAATTTTTATTTATATTATTTTCTTATTTTTATTTTTATATATATATTTTTTAATTTTATTATTATATTCTTTTTTTTATACCCTGGACCCATTGTTTATACTTAAATTCGTAAAAATAATAGAACTGTAAACTTTTCTTTAAAAAATAGTAATTTCAGTTTAGTAGAAATTACTTAAAAATTTACAAAAATTTTATTTACATTCTACCCAATTTTTCAGGTTATATTTAGTAGTAATAAACCATCCTAGTTCCCATTTCTGGTTTCTCTACTTTTTGCATATACAAATACTAGGCATGAGCATTTGCGCATCATACAACTCGTTAGTTTCAAATTTGGGACAAAAACTTGCTATGCTTGTAACAGGTGCACTGACTGAAGATAGAGAAATAAATAGTCAGAGGATAGATAAGGGAGGAGAAGCAATTGTGTAGCTCTCTGCTCTCAGCTCTTACATGTGAAAAACGTCAGGCAATTAATTTAAAAGCTGCTTTCATTTATGTTTATCTTAAGTTTTCAGTGGCTTTCGGTTAACTTTGACAACCTACTCAGTTATTCAAGTTCTGCAGCTGCATAACTTTGTCTATCTGTATGCACATACATATATAAATATTTAAATATATATATATGAGTCATTTTATGTGTCGTGCGTGTTGTTGGCGATCTGCTCAAATTTCAAGTAGAAAAAAAAAGGAAGAAAAAACAAGAAATATAGAAAAACTTTGTCTAAAGCATCCATACTTTTTTATGGCTTTTAAGCGTGTCGCTTATGTCGACAGTGGGCGAGAGACAGGGAGAAATAGAGAGGCAGAGGAGAAAGGAGGGAAGGTCCACAGCTTGTGGAACACGCCAAAAGCGTACAAAAAGTTTTTCCCTTATGATTCGCTTATGAAATTAAGCAATTTTCTAGCAGCCACTCCCCCAGCCACGCCCCTCTTCACACGCATGATGACATTTTGGCATAGACAAAAACAGATTTACCAACAACAGAAACAGCAGCAGCAACAACAACAACGAGCAAATTTATGTACTTTTTATGAGTTTCGCAAAGTGTTTGTAATTAAATTAATAAATTCAGCAACTTTTTTTCGTTTTAATATGTCTGCAAAATTAATTTCAGTTATATTTGATTTTTTTTTTAATGTGTCTGTTTTGGTTGTTCTGTTAAATGTTTAATTTTTGACGTGTGACAGCGTGTGATAAGTGGATTAGGCTAAACAGATTAGTTGAGTAAAGAGAATTTAGTAATGTAGCATTTATAAACCGAAAAGGTGAAGCCTAAAATTACATATATTCTCATATAGAAGCTAATTGTCAGTAGTAGATTATATATAAATTTATTATTTATTTAATTTAATTTATTTATAAATATAGAGCTAATTTTCCTTTTTTTTTTTTTTTTTTTTTTTTGAAAGGCTTCGCTTCAATTTAATCTTAAATATTTACGCGGCTTTGTTGTTATTAACTCTGCTGTGCCATTCAAATGCACTATAGTTAAATATCGATAGATTACTGTAGTGCTATCTACTCTATTTATTTTATTATTATTATTTTTTTTTTATTTCACATACAAAACTAAATGAAAGAAATTTTAAATTTATAAATCGGCTTTTGCTATATTATTTATAAATTTACTGTGTATAAGACTTAAAAATGTATTTAAATATTTATATTTAATACTAACTTTTTATATATATAATTAAAAAATTTTTTTTTTAGATTTTATATTTATTAAAATGCTTAAATTAAAATAAAGTTTTAATTGTTTAATTTTAATTCAATATAATATAAATCTTAACAACTTGTTAATATGGAAAATCAGGGTATAATGTTTGCTTTTAAATATATGTAACAAGCAGAAAGGGGCGTGGTAGAATTTTGAGTAAATACAAAAGATTCTAAATTGATCAAAATTACCGAAATTAATTAATTTGCAAAACATATTATTTATATAGATTTATAATTTATTTTCAAGTAATTTAGATTCACTTCATTTATAATATTTTCAAAATCATATTGAATACGTAAAATTTTGAAAATCTGAATTGAAATGTAAAAATTCGATTGAATCGCCTATTTCAGTCCATAAAAATATCCGAATTCAGATGAGTCCCAGAAACAATTTGTTTAAAATTGACTGAGCTAAAAAGGAAAATTCGACAAACAAACCTAAGTGAAGGAGAATAGCAGAATTAATTTGAAAATTGCAAAATAAATAAATAATAGCGAAAAGCCTAAACATACAGAAGTATTCCAATTGGAGTCCGCTGATCAATTTGATAAATTATAGAGTGGAGCTTAAGTTGGACTGAGATAGAGCATCAGGCTGCGGGGGGCTGGCGTGAAGAGATGCACTTAAGCCAGGCCACGAGGCCAACGTCGGTGCTCCTGGCTGAGAGTAGAGGCAAGAATACAGCAAGCTGATGTTGCTACCGTCTTGGCATCTAATTGGAGCCCTGCTAGTGCTGACGGCAACAGCGGGGGACTCCACCAACAAGATCATCCTGCCGCAAATACTCACCGACAGCAGCGGCAGCAGCAGCAGCAACGGAGGAGGCGCCTCCAGCACCAGCAGCAGCAGCACCAACACCAAACATCTCACCGGCAGCAAAACGCCGTCTGCCGCACTTGCTCCCGGTGGCGGATCGAAAACCACTACAGGCACCGCAGGCAATGGCAACATCATCCTCGGCAGTAATGGTATAATTGTGGCCGGCGGTATGCCCAATGCGCCAGCATCGAATTTAAATAGTAAGTAGAAGTAGTAACACTTTGTCTCAAGACTTTTATCGATAGACTTTTTATGATCTGATGAATCTGAAGGGATTGCTTTGGATTGCTTTGTTGAGAGCTACCTGATAGACCTGAAAATACACAGCGATTGCTTGCATAGAGAAAGAAAATTTAAAGCTTAAGGCTTTTATTAATACTCCTTTTATTTTCATTAATTCAATAGTGAGAATGCTAAATAATATTATTATATAATATAAATTTTAAATAAAATTATTTTTAAAGCCATTTGTTTTATAAGCCCCCAATTTCATTTCTTTTATGTTCAAATCAATGTGCAGAATTTCTCTATTGGAATAGAAAACATATTGTAAAGGTTTTCGAAATATTAACTAATAATACAGAACAGATTAAAAATGTAAAGCAAACTAAGAAAAAAGAAGAGAACAAGTCGAGATTCTAAATCAAAGTGTATGAAGAAAATAGAAGGTACATGAAATGAAGACGATATGGAAACGAAGAGATAAGCGGAAGAAAAGAAAAGCAGAGCGGAGAGTATAGAGCAGAGAGGAGAGAAGAGGAGAAAGGGAAGAATGAAAAATTGATCTTCCCTCTCTACCAAGAAAGTACAAGTTTCATTTTAAGGCCAATTTATATAATTTATGAGCGTTGAGTATTTGTTTTTCCCTATTTTCTATAATTATTTGAAATAAATAAATATAATATAAATGTTTCATATATTTTTAGAAAATAAAATAGGGGTTTTTTTGTTTATTGATTAAAAAAATAATAATAATTATAATAAAATTAATTTCTAAAAATTGCATCTTTTTAGCTAAGATATTTAATCATTTCTCAAGTAGTTATTTAAATTTAATTTAATTTCTTTGATACAATAACAAATTTGATTCAAGTATAGTATGGGATAAGTATTTATTAATAATAAATTTTCATTAAAATCAACCATCAATTTATGTAGTTAAATATGCTGAATAGTTACTTATAATTTAAATTGTAAACCAATGTCGATCTCATAGGAATTTTCACTAGCCTAAGCAGGGTATTTATTAGTCGTCGTTGATTATGGCCTTTTGGGCGCATCATTTCCTGTGATATTGTAATTTGGTGTACAGTGTAATATTGCGTACTTATCTTGGTTATCTTTATGCCAGTTACGCCCGCCGGGCAGACATCAGGGTCTGATGGCATCAATAACACTCGGCTTGTAGGCGACGGACCTCCGGCAATCATATTTGCGCACACTGACAGCGTAGCCAGATAGATAGACACAGATATACGGGTGTACGAGCAGTGAGCAGTGAGCAGTGAGCAGTCAGCAGCGGGAAGGGGGATTAATTCCAGCCGCGGGTCATAAGTGATACACGGCTATATGCCAAAAATTGAAAGCTAGCAGCTGCACAGATATGCGGCGTGAAAAAAAGAAATCGGTGACAGCGCCCCAAGCGCCAGAAACACAGACAGTAACAGCGAGAGAGAGAGAGAGAGAGAGAGAGGGAGGGAGAAAGAGAGAGAGAGGGAGACAGAGAGTGAGGGAGAAAGGGAGATAGATGAAGTTATGGTAAGGTAGCAGGCATCACTTCACACAACCAAACACACACACACACACCCACACACTCATACACATTCATACACTTGCCGGCTGTCATTGTTCTCAGGTGCAGTTGGAGCAGCAACAGTACGCAAATGTCGCTTAACTGTGCGCGAAATTCATTCAGGCAGCGCAATTTATGTCGCAACAACAAACGTCGACTCCCACTCGCCCCGTCTCACTCTCCCTTTCTCTCTCTCTATCTCTCTCTTTGGCAGCTCACTCCACTGACGAGCCCATCAACTGCTGCTGGCCAATATCAATGCCATGCCAGATGTTAAATTGTGTATATAATAGTTGGCTATATTTATCTGCAAGCATACGATAAAGTTTTTGGGTTAATTGACTCTGAGAGAAGAGGCTCTAGAAGTCGAGTGTAGTAAATATGAGATTAGTGAAAGCTTAATACACTTAATAATGACAGCTAATATATAGTATAATAGTATAATAAGTATCAATCAAGTTACTTTGTATATTTATTTTCACAATTTTTTAAGTTTACAAATATTAAATACATATACAATACATATACATATACATATATAGCTAGTTAGTTAAGCTAGTTAATTCTTAGAAATAAATAAATAGGGCTAGAACTTAACAAGTAAGAAAGCTCTAGTCGACTGCTCGACTGCTCGACTGCTCGACTACGAGATCCCCTGAACCCTTCGAGCAATAGCTATTCCATTAAATATATATATATATATATATATATATATATATATATATTATTTTGAAAGACTTTCATAGTTTTTAATGTTCACCTCTGTTGCCCAACTGCGCGCTGGCTTTGATCCCATTCTCCCCTTCAGCATTGTCCGTTCCTCAATGCGCATTCTTCACTTTGATAGTGAAGGTACAGTAGTAGTAGTTTAACAAGTGGGCGTGGCAGTGTAGAGCGGCGTTATGTTGCGGGTTTTGTTGGTTGACTTGGTCTGGGGGCCTTCACAAAATTTATATGCAGACACGCGCTCTGGCGCGAAAATTGCAGCTGGATGAAATCCCATGATTATGCAGAGACTTTGACGCTGCTGCAAAAAGGCAACAGCAACAGCCGAAGTTTTTAATTTTTTATGCCATTCGTTTGTTTGTTGTTGTTTGTTAATTCAAGTGCATGAGGCATAGAATGGAGCAAAAAAGTGTGGCACGAATGTCATGGTTACATTTGCCTCAAGGCTGCTAATTTATGCCTCCTGCTCCAGCTGTTGTCTCATAATTAGATGGGTCGATGCATGTTCAGGGCGTGCCAAATGCCACGTGTCAAATGAGTGTGGTTGACTGTGTGTGTGTGTGTATGTATGTGGGAGTGTGTGTGCTTAGACTCCTGGGGTCAGTTGCATTGGCAGCGCATACCAAATTGCATTTTGTATTGACTTTTGCCTTGTGCACTATGCCATAACAAATACAAATGTGTGTGAAGGTCTGTGTGTGCATGTGTGTGTAATGTTGTGCTTATGCCTGCAGGCATTATAAATATCTAATTAGAATGCAGTAGGTCTTTAAATGTTTTTCTGAAAATTAAGTTCAAAATAAATTTCTACAGCATAAGAAATATTATTATAAAAACAATTTTTCATCTCTTTAGTTATTTTATTTTATTTTTCAAAATTTTACAATAGAAAAAAATCTTTTCATATTATTATTATTGTGCTACATCTAATAAAAATATAATCAATAATCTTAAATGTTTGGTGAAATCTGTAAAATACAAAATATAAAAAAATAAATAAAATAGTATAAATTATTTGAAGATATGAAATTGTCAACTACTTTATTGAATTTTCACAAATTATTATTATATTTTAATAAAAATATAAAATTGACGATTATTTGAGATAAAAATTTTTTAATATTAAAAAAAGTATATATATTCCGTTATCTTGTTAAAAATTATTAATTTCTATTCATGTAAAAAATAAAAAGATTTAAATAAAACCAAGCAACATTTGTTTATTAATATTTTGTTTTATATTGTTAAAACTTTTAAAATTTTATATTAGAAAAACTTATTGGACTGAAAGGAGTTTTGAGTTCATTATCAATAATCATTATTATATTATTATATACATTTTTCATTATTTTTATTTTGATTATTATAAGGCTTTTTAATTTTTAAAAATTATATTAAATTTTTTTTGCTAATTTTAAATAAATAATTTAATTTTTTGCTAATTTTAAATAAATATTTAAATTACCCAATATTTGTTGAAAAATTAAACTCCAACAAAATTTGCTTTTTGTTCTGAGCACCGAATCGTAAGAGTGGAAAATGGAATTAGTTGTGTGCAAATATAGAAATAATTATATGTTCACAGCTATTTATTTATTTATTGAATAAAATGTTGTCAAGCAATCGAGATTTTCTAGCCAATTATGAAGAGATTTCTTAACCTTGCACCGTTCGTTCATTTGGCCATCGCCTTTTGGCCATGTGATTTAATAATTGCACAACTAACATATTAATTGAATTCCATTGGCATTTTATTACGGCTCAAAGGGATTGAATTCAATTAAGCAAACGTGCGCATAAGTCTGATAAATGTTTTCATTGGAAATTTTATTGCATTACGCAATCAAGACATACACACACTCAAGTAAAAGGACAAGAGTTGCTTTCCATTAAAAAGCGTCAGACAGAGTAGCCTACACGCAAAGATCCTGTATGAACATAATTGCTGGCAAACAGTCAAGAGTTGCAAAATAATATCCTTTAAGGATGCATTCATTACCTTTTTTAATATTACAATCCTCTGCCACGCTTAATCCTTTGGTACTCTTACAGCATCTACTATGAATTTAATTAAATTGTTTATTTACAACTTTTTTCTTTGTGTGAAATTTAATGGAAGCACCGAATGAGATGTATTAAAGAAACTATATGAAGGAAAGCTGAAAGTTAAAGTTAAAAATTATATCGGAGTTGAAAAGGTTACGAGATTATTTAGGTCGCATATTTAGTTTCCATATTGTTGACTTTTTAGTTAATAAATATTCAAAAAAAAAAAAAAAAAAAAATAAAAATAAATAAATAAAAATTATATATGAATAAAGAAATATAAGTGCAACTTTATTATTTAAATAAATTAAATTTTTAATATATTAAATATTTTATAACGATGACTATAATTATATTCAACTAAAATATAAGCTATAAATAAATATAAATACATTTTTATAACTAATATATTTTATGTTTTAAATTATATTATTTTATGTTTAAATTTTTAAAATTTTATAACTCAGCTGTAATTATAATTATTTCAATTTAAAAGCATATCATATATCATTTATAATTTGTAATCAATTTTGTAAGTTTAATATAATATTCTTTTTTAATTTATTATTTATTTTCTTACAATTTTGTATTTTCAAGTGTATTGATGCAGCGGCTTGGCTGGCTCAACTTTTCCTATTTTATTTTTAATGGCTGTTAAATTGAAAAGCATTTCTGACAAGGTTTTCGCAAGCCGTCATTTTATGCGTAAAAAAAAAAAAAAAAAAAAAAAAAAAAAACAAGTGAGATCTTTTTAGAGAGTTACCGACTGAATAATACTCATTCATGGCCCAAACGCTATCATATTCATTTTCCGATTTGTTACGTCCTTAATCGGTATATATATTTTGAATAGAATATATAAACAACAACTACGACAGTTTCTGTTCTAATTTTAATATGTTTACCTGACATTGCCTGAAACCAATATATTCTTTTCATTTTCGTGAATGAGTATATAAAAGCGCGAGAAGAAATTAAAAATTTAATGTGAGCGGTGAGGAAAACGCAAAATGAAAACTTAATTTGAAAATGCACAAAATAAAAAAATCGACGTGTGAACATTTTTAACTTGTTGATATTTAAGGCAAATAAAGCCAATGAATGTGTGTGTGTGTAATTTTATGTGAATATATGCTGCATTGTGTTTGTTTTTTGCTGTTGTTTGCAGTTTCGTTTCAATAAAATTTGATTGTCATTTTTTTTTAACAATTAATCTGATGCAATTGAAATGAATTTTCGCTTATGCCAATTTATGTATGCATTTATGTAAAATTGGTTGGCATTTTAATTCTAATCGCAGGCATAATAAAATCGTGCATAATTTATAAACTACAGTGAATAAATAATGAGACAATCATCATATGACTAAATAATACTAAATAAATTTATCTTCTTTTTTCTATTATTTATTGCAGCTGTTGTTGAAGAACCCGAATTTACCGAATACATCGAAAATGTAACTGTACCTGCTGGACGTAATGTCAAACTGGGTTGCTCGGTTAAAAATCTTGGCTCATATAAGGTGAGTACAGATAAGGAAATATGAATATGAATATGAATATGAATATGAATATGAATATGAATATGAATATGAATATGAATATGAATATGAATATGAATATGAATATGAATATGAATATGAATATGAATATGAATATGAATATGAATATGAATATGAATATGAATATGAATATGAATATGAATATGAATATGAATATGAATATGAATATGAATATGAATATGAATATGAATATGAATATGAATATGAATATGAATATGAATATGAATATGAATATGAATATGAATATGAATATGTATATGAATATGAATAAGAATGTGTGCATGAATATGAATATGAATGTGAATATGATGAGTATGATAAATATGAATATGAATATACATATAAATATAAATATGAGTAGGCAATGTTATATATTTGGTAAATTCAGATATGAATTTTAGAGCTCTCGTATAAGGGTTTCAACCTTTAGGAGACTGTGTAGAAAGTATTGACAGACTGAACTATTGAGAGATTGTGTGCCAAATGGACTCTGCAATGATGATGCAATTCTAATCTCTCGTCTCTTCTGCTACACATTGTATGACCTGTTATATTCCCAATATATTGGACTCTTTTTATGCACTTTTCAATGGCTGTTTAGCTAGTTGCTATGCAGCCTTTAGCACCAGAAGCGAGCCACGTCTTTGACATTAATATAGGAAACCAATTTCAAGTGCAAGTGCTGCACTCAGGCTGCTCGGCCACTCCAATGGCTGCTTAAGAATCTCACTTAACGAAGTGTCGAAGCAAATTCCTGCATACCTGTGCATAAATGCACATTTAGTGCCTGGTTTTTGCGCTCACCCCTTTAAGAACTATTTAATAACATCTAACGTCGACTATATATGTATATATATATGTATATATGGTATATATATGTAAGGGTTAACTCCTACTTCTGGCCGCACACGTACTACATGACTGCAATTTCACAGCTGAGCAGCACGAGTGAAAAAAGTGTAAAAGGAAAAGCGGAAGCGAGAAAATTGCATCATAGTGTCGCATATAAAAATAAACTTGGCTGGTTTCATGTGCGTTGCGGTGCGTCTGTATGTTCATGTGTGTTTGTGTGTGTGTGTGATAGCTATGAATTACACGCTGGCAATAGATGTAAGCGAGACGACTGCTGTCAGAGCTGTTGAGCTGGGTTTGGGCCAGAGACACAGCTACTTAAACATGCCATCAGCTAAACCGAGTTGCTCCACGCTTTTTGCTACCTGTCGAGCCCCGCACACCTTTCGCTTCGGCCCCATACCCCCTGCCCCTGCACCACTCTGCTTACTCCCATTTTCATTTTGGCCATTTTATTTAGTTCATGCACGTTTCTTGTGTCGTCAGCGCTCGTTTTCTTGTTGCTCGCATTTACACCTCAATTTGATTCTATTTCCTGGATATGCCAAGCCCCCAAAAAGGATGAAAAAGAGAAGAGAAATACATTCCAGATATCAGGTGCTGGTTGCGGCGCCTTTCACTTCTTCCTCCCTCTACATCTTTTTTATCCCTCTCTCTCTCTCTCTCTCTCTCTCTCTCTCTGTCTCTGTCTGTTTCTCTATCACTCTTTAGCCTCAGCTGATTTGGGCTTAGCTACTCGACTCAGCTCTTCGAGTGCTTGGTAATGATGCTCCTTCTGATGCTGCTGCTCTATGGCGTCGCAGCGCATCATTTCAAGTGCTTTTGATAGTCATGACCCGGTTCTCCATTTGCCTTGGTAATGATGTGTCTAAGCCCCGGCTAGCTCTTAGATCTTTGCTGTCGCCAATGCCATCGCCACTTATTTGCTCAGTTTACCTGTGCACCGGGCGTATGCGCAATGCAAACTCTTAATTAGTTGACTTTTGCTGCAATCTTCATATTAAGTGTGCTGCGCTTCACTTGTGTCTCATCTGTCTCCCTCGCCTTCTCACTAGCTCTCTCTCTCTCTTTATCTTCCGTTTATCTAATTGCATCAATCGCTTTCTTTTCATTTTTCTCCCCTTTTTGCCGTCGGAGTAATCAAATCATTATCGCTCATTACACGCTGATTTCTTACGAGCGGCTTAATTAATAAATCATTTTGCTTTATTCCTATTTTTTGCGGTCTGCATTTTTTATTTGCTATACCGCAGAAAAAGCCAAGGCAGGTAATGACTGCGTGATACTCTGTTTTTGCGATGAATTGGCATAACATGATTTGTGAATATATGTATTAAAATAAAAGAAAAATATATATGTATTTATTTTATTCAGAACAAATTTATATATATTTATTTTTATATAAAAAGATTTTCGCATTATATAATTTGCATATTCTCTCTGAAATTAGAGCAATAAAATATATATTTTTTTGGTATATTAATATTTTTTCATATTTATTATTTTTATTTATATAAATATATAATAAGCTCAATACATATATTTAGGTATTATTTTTAAGCACTTAATTATCATCCGAAGTATATTCAATTCTCAGTCCCGCCTCATTGACTTCCATGAATCTACTCGGAATGCTTTCGACAACAGTGTATAGAAATGCTAAATGAAGCATGAAAGGACGAAAAGGACTTGTTTTTGTTGTCGATGTTGTGGTGTCCCTCTTTTTCCCCCTCTCTCTTGCGTTTTCAGCTTGATTTCGCCTTACTGGCGCCGTTTCATAGAACTTTTTTGCTTTAAAAAAAAATGCTTTTTTATTTGATGAACTGTGGAATAGAGCAGAGTTAAAACGTATGGTAGTATATTTATATGGAGGAGTTTTTTTTTTTTTTTTAATACAATTTGTATTAGCATTAAGATTATTAATATTAAAGTATTCTTAATAGCATTATCCATTTTATAGATGACTAGTTTAACATATTTGCATTGTTTCTTTTTCAATCGAGAAGATATAATAATACCTAAAATAATACCTAAGGACTTATAATGTTGTCTATATCAAATCAATTAGCAATAACTAAATATATTTTTACAAAGTCGATTAATATATTAAGAGTTAATGTCTGAAAAGGTTATACTTAACTCTTTCTCTATACAATGATTGTTTGTTTTTATTAACTCACTGTCTTTATAAAGTACTTATACAACATTCTTATCAATCGATATGCAATTTTAGTTATATCTTGCCAGTTCTAAAACACTGTGCAAAATTTGATTAATATATCTGAATTAACGCTCAACTAATTCAGCCTAGAGTTTTCCAGTCCGTTCATTTGGACTACTTTACTTCTATTTACATCATAATTAATTCTCTCTATATTTATATTCTCCCTCTCTCTCTCTCTCTCTCTCTCTCTCTCTCCCAGGTCGCTTGGATGCACTTTGAGCAATCGGCGATATTGACCGTGCACAATCACGTGATCACGCGCAATCCGCGCATCAGTGTCACGCACGACAAGCACGACAGGCATCGCACCTGGTACCTGCACATCAACAACGTGCACGAGGAGGACAAGGGACGCTACATGTGCCAGATCAATACGGTGACGGCCAAAACTCAATTCGGCTATTTGAATGTTGTGGGTGAGTACTGGCAGTAGTCGTTGTTTGCGGGGTCCACCAGGGCTAACGTCTAATCAGCGGTACCCCTGCTGCAAGGGTGCACACGAAAATCCTGTACAAATACGCTGCAAATTAAAAAATAATTTGTATGCCTTAAAGCGTGCACACAGCGAGAGAGAAAACAAAGACCAAAAACAGAAGTAAGGGAAGCCAAAAGCAAAGTATGTATGTGTGAGTGTGTGGGTGTGTGTATATATGCATGTGTGAGTGTGCTTGTGTGCAGTGTACAGTTCAGTGAATCTTTTGGCCAAGCGAAATTATTTTCCCGCCTGGCAAACAAAACAAATTATTAAAAATGCATTCGAAACTCGCCGACAAGGGAGCACAATTTTTTAATTAAAAAATTATGTGCAAAAATACAACAACAAAAAATTCAACTGTTAAAAACGGCTTACAGACAAATACGAATTCAAATAAAAGCAATGTGCAAACTCAGTCATAAAAGAGGTGCTCTAATCAAAAACTCGATTATGCTGTATAAACAATTAATGTAGCTGCAGAACTTTTTTTTTTTATTATTATTACCACAATATAAACCACATAAGAGTATAGAAAAGCTTTTCAATAAAACGATCTTTTCAGAGTTTTTTTTTTTTTTTTGAAAATGAGAGATAAAATTTCATTCAGTATTACAAAATGCTTAATATAAAATTAATATATAGTTTTCGTAAAAGAAAAAAAAAAAAATATTATTATTTATAAAAAATATGTATATAAAACTTACGAAGGAAATAAATATTTTTTCCAATATTATGTTTAAAATTTAATTTTTTAATTTATTGAATTTATATTAAAATAATAATATTGATAAATATTATAAATTAGGGACAATTATAAATTAAAAATATTTTTTGCAATATTAATTTGTATTAATAAATGTGTTTTATTATTTTTATGTACGTAATTAACTATAAGTGAACATTTAAAAATATTTTAAATATATATAAATGAATTTATAATAATATTGAATATAAACTAAATTAAAATAAAGCCTTTAACAATAGTTGTTAAGGATTGAATTGGTAACTTAAGCAAATGTGCTGGAAATTGTTATATGCATGTATATCTATTATATATAGATATACTCACATAAATATGCATATATATTCAATTAAACGTTGTGCATTTAGATCCATTTCAATTTGAAAATTAGAAGCGAAATAATTATGGAATGCATATTGAAAGCTGATAGAATTGAAATTGAAAATATTCCAGCTGCATTATCCTGTTGCACAAACTCACACACACACGTGGAGACACGCACACACACATACATTGGCGCACATTTATTCGCAAACAATGCAATTTATCACCTATTTTAGTTTTTGCTGCCTATTTTTAGTGGCCAGCGATATATGTAGATGAGTTTGTGCATGTTATGAATTGTCTGCTCTCTCTACATATATATACACACACATACACATGCATATATTATGTAGGCGCTTTAATCTTAAATGTATCCGACACATTGTTTGCGCCGTAAGCGGCTTTATCCTAGAGCAGTTAACAGTTATTTATTTGGTTTACTGAAGCTACTTTAAAACAATTTTCCATTGATTTTGCAACTCTTTGGAACTCGTTGCAGTGCCACCAAATATTGACGATTCGCTGAGCTCGAGCGATGTCATCGTGCGCGAGGGCGCTAATATATCGCTGCGTTGTCGGGCCAGCGGCAGTCCCAGACCCATTATCAAATGGAAGCGTGATGATAACTCGCGCATAGCCATCAATAAGAATCACATAGGTAAGTGCAAAGGTAACGGACAGCTGGCTAGCGCATATCAGAGCAGCTGCATCAATCATTTAAGAGATTCACCTAACTTCCTCTACCTCGCCCCCCCTCTCTCTCTCTCATTCTCTCTCTCACTCTCTCTGTCTCTTTCTCTTCTGTTGCAGTGAATGAGTGGGAGGGCGATACGCTGGAGATAACCCGCATCTCTCGTCTGGACATGGGCGCCTATCTCTGCATCGCATCCAATGGGGTGCCCCCGACGGTTTCCAAGCGCATCAAAGTCAGCGTCGACTGTGAGTATAATAACGAAAGAGATGGGGCAGGCACTGTATGTTAAGGGGGGCGCAGGGCCACGGCGGGGTATATCAGCTTTTCGCTTTTGCTCTTTGACTGTCTGTCGAAGCGAAAATGATAAAGTGATTCTTTTCTGGTGCTGAACAGATTTTTTTCACAACTATTTACCAAGCACTTGCAACGTTAACACAAATTCTATAAACATTGTGAAAACTGCGAAAAATTTCAAATAAAAATTGTGCAAAAATTGTGGAAAAATTGTGGAAAAATTGTGGAAAAACTAAATACAGCTTTTATAGCTTTTGGATTTGGGTTAGCTACCGTTTTCAAATTGTTTTTCGTTACGTGTTGACCAACAGCGTTTGATGGCTAAAAACTACCTTTATAAATTTGTATATCTGCCCTCTCGCTTTGTGTCTGTGTGCGAGTGGGTGTGAGTATGTGTGTTCGAGTTTTGTGTGTTATATGCACTGTTGTCCCTAGCAACTCATATTTCCATTTCGCGGCTGCGGATTAAACTTGATCTGATAGTCGGTCACATGGCAGGCACTGTGGTGAAAGATCTGCGTATGAAAATACATTTTTTGATGTTTCGACAGTTGCAGTTAGTGATTGAGCACGCAAAGATTGTTTAAACAAATTTCGTATACAATTTCTAAAATATAAAAAATTAATAAATAATTAATAAAAAAAAAATAATATAACAATAATAATAATACAATTATAACTATAATAAATAAGAGAAATAAAATAAAATGAAATAAATAAATAAATAAAATGAAATAAAACATCAATTATTACTTTTTTATTGCGTGTAAAATTTTCAAAAAAAAAGTTAATTAATTTTTATCTTATAATGTATTTTTACAATACATTTTCATTAATTCTTTATTTATTTATTTTTTAATTTTTAATTTATCTCTTATTTAATTTATTTGTTTGTTCAACATTTTTATATTGATCAGCTAAAAAAAAAATACATCTATGGATTCCTTAAGCTTTTGAGATTTTAAAAGTTGTCTTTAAAGATTTAATACTAATAATTATTTATGTATATACATATTTTTTTTTTCTTAAAGTCAAAACTTTATCGCACATTTTAAATAAATATAAGAGATTTCATATTATATATGAAATGCAACTTTGTTCACAATATCAGCAAAAGTAAATAGCAATGTTTCATGTCCTCTCATATAATATTACAGTTTTTTAAATCTATTCTTATTCATATTAATTCATTAAATCTTTAATATCCTAACAACTCTTGCTCAAAGAAAACCTGCAGCCAATTAATACAATTTTTTATACATTCGCCCCCTTCATCGCACTTTATCTGCTAATTGTCCGATCTTATCAGCATAACACTTAGCCCCATGCTGGGCCCACTGTCTCTGACTGATTGCATTTCGAGGCCCCACTTGTAGCTGTTGCTGCACTTTTTCTGCAAAATCTCACGTAAAAACAAAAAAAGAAAAGGAATGAAAATTCAAAACGAAACAAAGTTCAAATCAGTGTGCAGTTCTTTTTAAGATTTATTACAAGCGACAGTCAGTCACATCACATGCTGTCCGTGCGCTGTCATGTCAGCAGGCAAGAGGAGATGGAGTGTGGGGCGTGGCAACGAGCGTTGTGGGCGGTGCAGTGGCAACGTCACAGAAAATTTGCTCGTTTGCTGTCACTTAAAAATGCCGCAAGCATAAATCTATTGTGGTTTTGTGCACGACATTCATTCCCTTGCTTGCTAGCCAAACAAAACAAAACCGATTCCGAATCCTAACTCAGAGACCCCCCAGGCAACACAACGGCCAACACTACACCTATATAAACCTGCCCACTCTCTAGAGAGCTGAACTCACACAGACACACACGAAAAAAAGTGCAATACAAATTACACGTGTGCGAAGCGAGAGCCATAAAAAAGTAAGTCGAAATGCCTGATTGCTGTAGACATGCACCGGAAAAAAAAGTGCACATAGAATGTGTGTGTATGTGGGTGTGTGTGTGGGTATAGAAAATATGAAAAGACTACTTCAAAGTGCTTGGGAAGCAAAAAAAAAAGTGTTGAAAAACTAAACAGATTTGCCGCACAATGGATTGTTTGGGCAGGTTAAACAAACTTGTGACTGACATAGAGAAGTGTGTAGAAGCAGTTATTAAATCGTTAATTGATTTGTGTGAGACGACGACAAATGAACAGTAATGGAAGCTAGAAACAGAAGATGTTTGTTATTTACAATATAATTATATGTATAGGTGAAACATGACAATTTCAAATATATGTTACAAACTTCAGTAAACGAAATTTAGCAACAATTTCGAATTAATTTAATTTTTACATCTGTGCTCGATAATAATTCGTACAACAAGATGGAATTGATGCGAGTTTTATTGTTCACCTATATGTGTGTCTATATGTCAATGTCTAATATCAGTTTTGGCTCGTTTGATAAGGTTATATGTGTAGTGTAGTTCAACGGCCAAAAAAATTTCACATTTTAAAAGCATTTTTATTAAGAGAAAAAATGCTCGAAAAAAAAAACAAAACAAAAAAAAGAATTAATAAATATATATATATACTAAGATAAAACTGTTACGAGTCGAATAAATGCTGCGACATATACTAACAGCAACGCTAATATGATTTAAAAGACGAAGTCAAGGTTGGATTATGACAACTTGCTTTATTGAATATCAACTTAAGACTAACAATTGTAGGTCTATTGACACGTATTTATGCAGTATTTATTTATGAGTATTCAGTGTTGGGCATTTCACCACACAATTCCAACACATTAACAATGTTGCGTCAACTTCTAATTGTCTATTATGCACTGTGTGAGGCTGTGTGAGTGTATGAGTATTCAGTGTTGGGCATTTCACCACACAATTCCAACACATTAACAATGTTGCGTCAACTTCTAATTGTCTATTATGCACTGTGTGAGGCTGTGTGAGTGTATGAGTATTCAGTGTTGGGCATTTCACCACACAATTCCAACACATCATCCGAATACTAGACCTAGGTCAACGAAGCTGCGCGCCTTGCAAAGACGAATCAGCTTAATGACGCGACCATACAGCTTCTGAATATTGTAGACGTAATCAGTATGATTATGTCACTTCCCTCTCCTTAAGAGGCGAGCCTGCGAGTCAAGGTGACACAGACGGGTAAAGTTTTGGTAAAGTTGATTGTGTCATCTCGATGATCGTGTTTTCCTGTTTTTGCTCTTCTGTTTCGACTGATGGCGTTGTTTGTTTGTTGGGCTCGTGAATTTGTTTTTTTAAATTTTGTTCGAAATAATTTTATGGGGTTACAAGATACATATTTAAAATATAGGATTACAATTATGAATATGGTTATTGTGATTACAATGATTGTATATGTTAAAGTATTATTTTGTGATACAATTTTTACAATGTCATCATGTTTTATAGGTTTTACTTTAATAATTTCTATTGGGGGATACAATGGTGTAAGGTCAACTTCTAGTTGAAAATAGTTATCGCTTACAATTATGTCGTTTATTTGCAGTTTACATTGATTGATATTTATAATTTTGTTACCCTGAATATTAAGACTAACATTATTATTATTATTTTTTTTTTTTTTTTTTTTTTTTTTTGGCAATTTTGTTTTACAATTGTAGAAGTTATGTTCCAAGTTACAATGGTATTTGGCTTAATTAAAGATTTTATTATCTTTCTCATAATAAGAAGTTGTGCTAATGTAATCGAGTTGATAGCCATTATGATCAGGATATGGGATAATTTTGATTGTATTAATGGATTGAAAGTCAATTGGGATATGGGAAATGATAGTATGATTATGAAGTAGAAACCTGTGGAATTTGAATTTGGTTAATTTTCTTTAATTTTTTAAACTGAGTTTTATAGTAACGTGTAATTCTATTTCTGTTAGTAATTTGGTAATGATCTGGATCTATTTTTTCAACATTTTTATTGGCTTTAAAGGGGTTTTCTAGTTTTCCTTTTTGTAATGGTCCTTTTCGATATCTGGTATCGACTTCGTATTCTTGTCGGTCACTGTTGATTTTATTTATTACTTTTTCTTTATTTTCTTGAGTGTTTAACTTTGGTTGTCCCGCATATAAAAATATGTGTGCAGGAGTTTGTCCAGTTGTGTCATGCTTAGTCTTGTGATTGTAAATGTAAAGTATGGTTTCTATTTTGCTGAGTTTATTTTCTTCGTCATTTAAAGTGTTGATTATTCTAATTTTTTCGTTTATTGTTTTGTGTAGTCGTTCTATGTCTGCTATTCCTGTTTTTGTAGTATTTAATTGTAATTCTACTCCTTCATTTTCAAGCCATTTTTTGAGTGCTAAGCTGGTAAATGCGCCGTCTCGGTCAGCTTTTAATAATTTTGGCTTTCCTAACTGATTGAATATACGCATTAATGCATTCTTGCATTCTATCCAGTCTTTTGCTTTAATATTTTCAAGAGTAGCGAATTTTGAGTAAATGTCTATGCAACTAAGATAATGTTTGCCTTCAGAGGAATAAATGTCTATTACAAATTTATCGCGACAATGTTCGGGTCTGGGAGTAATTTTCATTGGCATGTTTGTGTTTCTGTGTTCGGTTTTTGCTAAATTGCAAATGTTACATTCGTTTACTATGTTTTGTGTCAGTAATTGGCTGTTGGGGAAATAGTAAGTTTCACTGAAGAGTTTATTTGTTTTTTGAATTCCGGGGTGTAAGAGTTTTTCATGGGTTTTCAAAATAAGTTCTTTAAATTCGGCATATGAGTTTATATTTTTTAATTGAATGAGGCTTCGTAGAATTTTAGTGTGGCTAGTGTTGATAATTTCTTTATGTGCGTTTTGAATGATTTCGAAATCTGCATCACTGTCTATAAACATTGCACTAGTTTTTGTACAAAAATAGTCAATTAAATATTTTTCGGCTTTGTCTTTAGTCATGTTGTCGTATGTGATGTGAATTATAAGTTTTTTGAAGTAATTCTGTTTTGTAATATTTG